CCTCACTGGTAGATCACTGTTATGAAACACAAAAGCAATACATATGTCTGATCAAGGGGAAAAAAGGACCATAATTTGGTTATAGTACCGTTCATTGGAATACTATGGAAAATACTCAAATCTAACAGTGTTTGAGTTGCAGCTAGTCAAGAATATGTCACAACCACATTTCAACAGCACCTGCAATCGTGGACAACCCCAAAAAAGGATATTTTTGAGTTGGGAAAGGTATATATCAACAGTAGAGACCTTCAAATTTTTAGGTTCTATCATATCTCAAGACCTAAAATGGACACCTAACAACAAAAACTTCATCAAAAAAGCACAACAAAGAATGTTCTTTCTGTGCCAACTCAGGAAGCTTAAACTGCCCAAAGAGCTGCTGATCCAGTTCTACAGAGGAATTATTGAGTCTGTCATCTGCACCTCCATAACTGTCTGGTTTGGATCCCTCACATCCTGGACATAAATTGTTTCAACTCCTACCCTCAAAACAACGCTATAGAGCACTGCACACCAAAACAACTAGACACAAGAACAGTTTTTTCCAGAACGCCATCACTCTGCTAAACAAATAATTCCCTTAACACTGTCAAACTATTCACTAAGTCTACATTACTATTACTATTAATCTTCCCATCGTTCTTATTACCCATCTCCTCCCACTTATGACTGTATGACTGTAACTTGTTGCTGTATCCTTACGATTTATATTGATTGTTTCCTAGAATGATTTCATTTCTTAATTGTACCCTTTGACCATTATTAAGTGTCATACCTTATGATTCTTGACGAATGTATCTTCTCTTTTTATGTACACTGATATGCACCAAAGACAAATTCCTTGTGTGTCCAATCACACTTGGCCAATAAAGAATTATTTCTGTCTGTCTGTCTGTCTGTCTGTCTGTCTGTCTGTCTGTCTGTCTGTCTGTCTACCTACCTACCTACCTACAAGTCCAACTTTGTGTCCAACAAGCACGGGAGTCTTTTTCTCTTAGAAGTAAGGTGAGCAAGTTAGGACATGATAGATACACAGACTTGTAGAAATGATGGAGATATTAAAACTTAAGAGTCCTCTAATGAAGATCAGGAGAAGGTTGAAGACAGAGGAAAGTAAATATTATGGAATCTGCTACCAGGAGATAAAAACACGGTCATCAGTATGAACAGGTCGAAAATAAACAAGTACATGGTAAGTAAGGTCTCAATTGCAGGTTATGAATTCAGTATCCAAAGCAAAAGGTCTCCTAGGGTCAACTGTTGAAGAACACAAGTAGAAGAACATTGTTGTGACTTTTCCTGATTGTAAGCCAGACATCTGACTTGTTGCTATGGCAATAAGGTACTCTATTTTGATTAGACCCAGTTGTTATGTTTAACAGCTTCTTAGGAAATCAAACAACAAGCCATGTCGGATACTCATAAACAAACCCTATCAAGTTCAGTGGAGCTTATTTCCTAGAAAATGTTCATAGAGTTGTCATTTTAAAACATTGCACTCATAGTTGGTGATAACCCTGAGGCTCTCTCTCTTTCCTTTAAAAGATACACAAGATTAATAAAAAAATGTTCACATTTGCCACCAAGTGGACAATCACTATTAAGACTCTGTGGCAGTCAGGGGCTGCCACAAAGAAGAGGGAGTCAAGCTATTCTCCAAAGCACCTGAGGGTAGGACAAGAAGCAATGGGTGGAAACTAATCAAGGAGAGAAGCAACTTAGAACTAAGGAGAAATTTCCTGACAGTGAGAACGATTAACCAGTGGAACAACTTGCCTCCAGAGGATGTGAATGCTCCAGCACTGGAAGTTTTTAAGAAGATGTTGGATAACCATTTGTCTGAAGTGGTGTAGGGTTTCCTGCCTAAGCAGGGGATTGGACTAGAAGACCTCCAAGGTCCCTTCCAACTCTTCTATTCTATTCTATTCTATTCTATTCTATTCTATTCTACTCTACTCTACTCTACTCTACTCTACTCTACTCTACTCTACTCTACTCCAACCAATCATCTGTAATGGATGGATATGAGCTGCAGAAGACTTTTCTTTAAAAACGCCTTAATTATCTGCAGACAACGAAACACAGTAGAACTATCAGTGCCAGGTTTTTGAAATTGCTTTTGTTTTCCTAAACAATCAGATCTAAATTGCTCAGGATATTTTAGCAAAAGGCTTATTAAAGGGTGATTTTTTTCAATTACTGAAAGCAGAAGGGGAAAAAAAAACACACATCAAATACTATGGTAAACTATGTTTGGGTTTTGGTGCCAAGGACTGGAACTTGACTTGCATATTCCAGTTACAGAATTAAATAGAAAATATTCCAAATTGCCCCAGATGTCAGCGAAGCATCAATAAAATTAGAAATTACGTCTTGGGAACCATTTCTTTCTAGGATGGTCCCTAACTTAAAGGAAGAGTAAGCTAAACTGATGCAGCTACTATAATCCTGAGAACAAAAGATAATAGTCAAAGACTGGGAGATATATTTTACAGAAGATAGATTTGAGGCTCCCTTTATGGGTTGTTTTTTTTGGGGGGGGGGATGCATGCTTGTGTCTGTTAGTCATTACTTTTTATTCCAGAATGATAGGTAATCTGATACCTGCAATAGCTGCTAGCAATTAATTAATTCAATCTATAATTATCTTCTTCAAACTGACTCTAAACTGCAAAGCTCGGGGCCTGTTCGCTTTGTATTTGTTTGCAACTTTTTGTGGGTTTTTTTTTTTTAATTTTATTTTTGTTTCCCTTTTGCTTAATGAAAAATGCAGCAGAACTAAAAAGCTTCCCAACGTTTTGGCATCATTACCGGGCCCAATAAAGATATTGCCTACATTCTCCTCTTTGTTAACTACATGCGGAAGTAAGAAAGAAAATAAACACAATCATATATAAATAGGATGCTCACCAATGGGCAATATTCTTGTAGTTTAGCACCGGGGAATCAGAAATGGGTCTAAGAACTCTCAAGGTAGACAGTTTTTTTAAAATAATATATGAATCACACACATGAATCTTTATGTTGAGTTGAGTTGAGTCGAGTCGAGTAGAATTGAGTAGAGTAGAGTAGAAGAGTAGAGCAGAGTAGAGTAGTAGAGCAGAGTAGTACAGTAGGGTAGAAGAGTAGAATAGAGTAGCAGAATAGAGTAGAGTAGTAGAGTAGAGTAGAAGAGTAGAATAGAGTAGTAGAGTAGAGTAGATAGAGTAGAGTAGAGTAGAGTAGAGTAGAAGAGTAGAATAGAGTAGTAGAGTAGAGTAGAGTAGAGTAGAGTAGAGTAGAGTAGAGTAGAGGTAGAGTAGAGTAGAGTAGAGTAGAGTAGAAGAGTAGAATAGAGTAGCAGAGCAGAGCAGAGCAGAGCAGAACAGAACAGAATAGAATATTGGCCAAGTGTGATTAGATACACAAGGAATTTGTCTCTGATGCAGAAGCTGTCAGCTAACATGCAAAGCAGCAGAGTAATATTAAACATAATAATGATATTAATAAGAGGGAGTAGTAGAAAAGATGAGAAAGGTAATGATGATACTACGGCCACCCTTTTTCCAGTTTTTAACTTACCACTTATCATCCTTGCTAGACAGAGATATAATACAAAAAACACACATGCCTATACATACTGTTGCACATTAATACAATCACATACACATCAAAACAATTGCCTAATCAAGCTTGCAGGTAAGTAAGTTAAAACAACAGGACTTTCATTAAGGTATCCATCGATGTTTAAACAATATTTTTGTGCTCAGTCACCTACACCTCAAATCTCTTCAGCTTATACACATACATGAATGGGAAAAAAAACCCAACCCAATAAGAAATCGATAAATTAATAAATAGGGACTACTGAACCCATGCTGGCTGGAGAATGCTGGGAGTTGAAGTCTTAAAGTTGCCAATGTTGGATAAGGTAAAGGTAAAGGTTCCCCTCGCACATATGTGCTAGTCCTTCCCGAATCTAGGGGGTGGTGCTCATCTCTGTTTCAAAGCCAAAGAGCCAGCGCTGTCCGAAGATGTCTCCGTGGTCATGTGGCCAGCATGACTAAATGCCAAAGGCACACGGAATGCTGTTACTTTCCCACCAAAGGTGGTCCCTATTTTTCTACTTGCATTTTTTACATACTTTCGAACTGCTGGGTTGGCAGAAGCTGAGACAAGTAACGGGAGCTCACCCCATTAGGCAGCGCTAGGGATTCGAACTGCTGAACTGCCAACCTTTTGATCGACAAGCTCAGTGTCTTAGCCACTGAGCCACCCCGTCCCTGTGAAGGTTAGATACCCCTGCGCTCAAGTCTCCCAGATATATCCATTAGGGAGAGAGTTTTAAGGGTTTAGTCTGGCAAGATTCTGTCTATTGTGTGTAAGCAGATAAAGAACTGAGCTTTGTCTGGATTGTTTCATTGTGCTTACTCTAACAGTCATTTTATTTTTACTTTTTTCTCAGTTGGAGAAATCCATCTGGTGCTTTTCACGTGTCTGTTTGTCTACCCATCCTAAACAATTTGGTACTGTCACCAAATCTGGCCATTTCATGTCTTATTTCCCCCTCTCCTCCACGGCCCAAATTAAAACATTTTTAAGGAAGTTGAGATTTCTTACCTTATTTCAGAACCAACAAAGGACACAGAATTTCTAGGCTTCATCTGAAATTTCCACAAGTAGCCAAGTGAAGTTGCCCTTTTTGCTACTGTCCAGAACAAACTCAGCTACCTTAGTGAGAAAATGACTGAAATATCATAATTTCGATTAGGGCAAGGAAGGAATCTAGGCAAAACTCAATTCATATATCCAGTAGTCTAACTAAACTAATGAGAAAAAGCAAATATTCCTTTGGAATTTCATATGAAGATACACCGCATCCCTGGCTGACAACTTTCTGATCAAACAGACCATTCTTTTTTACAAAAGTGATTCCGTTTTATATTGTTTAAACATTGTAAGCAGGACATAATTCACATATTTAACTAGGAAAAAGAGCAACAACATGCAAAAGGATATGATCATTTTTTCAACGAATTTATCATGTGGATCTTCTATTTTGGGGAACTTCTTGATGTCATTTTCCAAACGCTGTATCTGCTGTCCCATGGAATCAAGACTGCTTTTAAGACTTTGAGCTGAAACTGAGAGAGAGAGAAAAAATGGTAATTCAAGAATCAGACCAGGACTTACGACTGGGGGAAAAAAAAGCTATGTCAGAAGTAATATTCGTGAAGGCAGTGAAGATAATTCCATTAATATGTGCCCTCATTTTTCTGAATTACGGCTCATAAAAGTTCTACTATTCATAAAATAAAGGGAAATATATAATATAATATACGAAATCATCATGCTTAATGTGAGAATGTCACTATTTTATTCTTCCATTAGTTCAAACTAATCTAATTCTATTCAAATTTATTGATAGAAATGCTAGTATTTCATTCCTTTGAATCTAATTTGTAGATTAAACAGAAACCCAGTTTCAAAGAGATTCTATCTTAGCAATATATATAGTTGGTGATTTAAAGAAAATCTGCAGAATACATCTTTTTATCTCTTTCGCTCTAGTCATGAAATGTAGAATCTGGAGAAACCTATAACTGCCGTAACTTTTTACTGGTACTTCTAACTTTAATTTAATGGGATAACGCAAATTATTAATGTTCCAAAGAGTGGTAAGCAAAGGCACAGGAACAGTGTAACACATCACAGTTGTAATTAATTTTTGTAATTAATTGCTAAGTAGCATTGTTCAGATTAATATTAAAAAGTTAATCAATTAGTATTATTGTATTCACCGTGGAGTATCTTATCTTTTCTCCTAAATTATTCGGGGATAGCTTATTAGCTCTACAGAGTAATATTGTGAAGGGAAGAGAAAAGAATGTTGTTCAAATCTGTAAGTCTAGTTCAGACACAAGCAAACCCCTTCTGCATCACAGATGAAAGAAACAGAGAGCACGGAAAGAAAAATTAGGGTTTCTTTTGTTTTGTTTCAGTCATCATTTCTGCGTAGAACCGAACAGGAAAAACAAAGTGATTGCTTACTTTTGTGTGTTATAAATTTCAGCCTGTGTACATTTGTACCCAAGGCCGTTGTTTCAGCATATAAAAGTAACAAAAGTGCTATTACAACAAGGCAAATTATTTCTTCAGCAATACCTAAAGCCTCCTGATGATTAATTCCAGATCGAAAACCATGGCTGTAAAAGTGGAGATTATATATCGTGGGTTCATTGCATTTAACCTGGGATTATTGCATCTGGAGTTTTCGGTTGCCAATGTTAACAGAACAGAAGTCAACAGAGAATGAATGGAATGAATGAATGAAAGGGATCCAGTGAGCAAACTATGAATCCAGCGAGCAAATTATGACTCTGAAGATGCCGTCCACAAAACTGGAAATCCTGAAATCTATGAGTGGTCCAAGCAAGGGCCAAGCCATTGTAGACATACCATTATATGCCTCCAGTAATCCAGCAAGTGAAAAAAAATATGCACGGACACTATGGAGACTCTCAATCTTCCAGGGTTGTCCCAAAGTACACAAGTGCTTTTTTTCTAAGTACACAACAGACCAGGGATGAAATGAGCTCTGACATTTGCTACCGGTTCGCTTCGCTACCGGTTCGCTTTGCGTGCGCGTGTGCACAGTGCGCACTAAATGCACACTTTGCCTGCATGCACACTGCAGGCTCTACTGTGCAGCGCTGAAAAAGGAGGATTAAGAAGCCTTTCCTAAGGTAAGTAGAATAGCGAGGGGGGTAACAGCTGTGCCGCATTATTTAGATTCGCTAGAAAGCAGGATTTCCTGCTTTCTAGCTTGTTTTCCCAAAAATAAGACATCCCCTGATAATAAGCCCAATCGGGCTTTTGAGCGCATGCCTTAAAATAATCCCCTTCTGAAAATAAGCCCTCCCCGAAAATATTTAAATGCATGCGCATTTAAATGCATCCGCCATTTCCTCTGGTTAGGGTTAGGGAGACAGAGCTGGAAATCAGGTAAGACAGCAAGAGGAGCCCCGTCTTGCTTTATGCATCCCAAAATAATAAGACCTCTCTGAAAATAAGGCCAATAGCTTATTTCAGGGTTAAAAAAAAATAAAAATAAGACAGGGTCTTATTTTCAGGGAAATATGGTAGCAAATATAAATTGCTCGGCACAGCTGATCGTCTGAAATACCGGTTCACCCGAACCAGTAGCATTTTTTTACTACCGGTTCGCTCGAACTGGTAGCTTTTATTACTACCAGTTTGGGTGAACCAATCCGAACCGGTAGCATTTCACCCCTACAACAGACCCTTAACATAAAAACTGTGATAACAAGTTGTTCAAGGGTGTCGAACGCCCTCGACAACTTACCGAATAAGAGGGGCACTCCATGTGGAAAACCAGCTGGCTGAACATATTAATGCCAGAATAATAAACACGGGTGTTGGTGATGGTGGCGAGAATGGGGCGATAGCGATAGCAATGTTGGTGGTGGGATTAGTGGGATTCGGTACAGCTGTTTGTGGGATATTGGGAGGTAGGAATCCTGTGCCGGATAGTTGGAACAGCCTGACCTGAAGCTGTAAACACAGACCAATGATGTCATATGCCAGCAACCCGAGGAAAGCTCCAGCAACTTCAAAGCAGGGAGGAAAGCATGCAGCTTATCAGCTGACACTGATTGTGGACTATTACAAAACAGCCAGCAGGATAGCCTAAAAAAAGAAGCTGAGTAATGGCTCCTCTCAGCTCCAGCTTTATTCTTGTATAGAGAACCGGCATTTGCTTATCATCTGTCAAGTAGCTGTCATTAAACGAGTTAAATCATAATTTGAGTCGTGTGTTTAACTCGGCCAGCACAGGCAGGAAAGAAAAGCTGAGAGAGGGACTATTTTGCACGTAACTACACTGTCCTAAAGGGAAGAAAAGCAGACAGAATTTGGAAAACAAAATCCAATACATGAATAGTCATACTGGTAACTAGAAATAGAAGATTGTTTTTCTCAAACTCCAGGATTATAGCTGTGCTTGCCAAAGAGCAATCCAAGATTCACAAATACATTTCCAAACACACAAACACAAAATTGCTTGAGTAGACCATCCGTGGTGGATGATGATGGTGAAAGATAAGTTAAAGATTTCTGCCACCAAGTCATTTTCTTTTCATCACGTCATAGAAGCACAAATAATTCAAAACCAGCTTTTAAACAGATTATTACTTAGGGAGCAATTCATCCTGGCGAGTGTCTCGAATGCGGGAAAGGTCATAAGACTCATTTCGTTGTTGAGACAAGTAATTTGCTAGACTCTTAAGCATTTGGGCTGTAAAAATTGCCTACGGAGAAAACGAGGCAAAAGGAAGAACAATTTCTTCCCACAGATTGTCTTAGCAATTTCTCTTGTGTAAGTTCTATGATGCTGGATACTTCCTAGAACAATGTTGAAGTTACAGGTAGTCCTTGACTTAACAGCCACTGCAAGTTGTTAAAAAAATGAGCCACAGTGGCAGAATGGTTAGAGTGCAGTACTGCAGGCTAATTCTGCTGACTGCCGGCTGCCTGAAATTTGGCAGTTTGAATCTCACCAGGCTCAAGGTTGACTCTGCCTTCCATCCTTCCAAGGTCGATAAAAGGAGGACTCAGATTGTTGGGGGCCATAGGCTGACTCTGTAAACCGCTTAGAGAGGGCTATAAAAGCACTGTGAAGTGGTATATAAATCTACATACTATTGCTATTAGGAGCCCTGGTGGCACAGTGATTAGAATGCAGTATTGCAGGCTAACTCTGCCCACTGCCAACAGTTCGATCCTGATTGGCTCAAGGTTGACTCAGCCTTCCATCCTTCCAAGGTCGGTAAAATGAGGACCCAGATTGTTGGGGGCAATAGGCTGACTCTGTAAACCACTTAGAGAGGGCTGTAAAGCACTGTAAAGCGGTATATAAGTCTAAGTGCTATTGCTAAGAGTTGTGCCTCGTTTGACAAACTCTTTTTTGACAGAGTTGTGAAATGAACCACTGCAATTGCTGAGAGCATCATGTGTGGATTAAGCAAATCTGGACTCTAAAAATCTGTAGATATTCTCAGCCATACAGGTCATGGTTGTCCCAAAGGTGCTTTTTCAGGAGGCAACTGGACTTTCTTGTTTTTTCTTTTGAAGACGTTTCGCTTCTCATCCAAGAAGCTTCTTCTGCCCTGACAGGATCCTTTCCATTCCCCATCATCCAGTCAGAGCTGAAGAAGCTTCTTGGATGAGAAGCGAAATGTCTTCAAAGAAAAAACAAGGAAGTCCAGTTATGTCCTGAAAAAAACACCTTTGGGACAAATCCGGACTCGTGTCAATACATATGTTTCAAATAGGAGCCTTGATAGTACAGTGGTCTACGCACCCTGTTATTAACACAGCTGCCTGCAATTTACTGCTGGTTCGAATCTCTCCAAGGCTCAAGGTTGACTCAGTCTTCCATCCTTTCTAAGGTAGGTGAAATGAGGACCCAGTTTGTGGGGGCAATAAGCTGACTTTGTATAAAAAATATACAAAAGTATGAAGGCTATTGCTTAATGCATTGTAAGCCGCCCTGAGTCTCCGGAGAAGGGCGGCATATAAATCAAATTAAAAAAAAATGTACAAAAATGTATAGGGGGGAAAAAAACAACAACACACAACAAAATGCAAGCAGATTCTGAAGGTTTGTCTTATGCGCAATTACTATAAGCTACTTATTTTTATAGTAAAACTGAGGCACACCGAATAGGCAACAATTTGGAATAGATGATATTCTAATTACTTAGGATGAGTATTACAGAGTGAAGCCCTGTGAATATGCTTGTGTGTGTGAGAGAGTGTGTATACATAAAGACACATAAGACCTCTCGTTTTTCTCTGGGTTTGTAATAATGATTTGGAGGGCAATCAAAACTGCTAAATTGATCAAGTTCATTTTATATTGCAGATAATGATTTAATAAATTGGTTGGGTGTGTGAACTGTGGAATTGTATCTAAAGCACTACACTGTAAAGACACACACACTCACACACACAAAATTATCCCAAAAACGAGAACAAAAAATAAAAATAAAGAACCTGAAGATGAAAATCATAAAATAAAATAACATGGAATCAAAAGCACCCTAAACATTCTCAAACCACT